TTATATCATCGTTCTGAATATTCATGTCCCAACAGTAGATAAAATCGATTATACAAGGACAGCTCATACTAGGAGCTAGAACATGTATTTGATAAATTCCCGAAATATCATATGAAATACTGTTAGGAGATTTCAAAGTAAAACTAGGGAGGGAAGATGTTTTGAAACCAAAACCTGGGAATGAGAGCTTACACAAAATTAATAATGAATGGAGTAGAAAATTTTGCCACATCAAAAATTTCGCTGTCAAAAGTACAATGTTCCCACTCGTAACGTTCATAAATTTTCTTGGACATCTCCTGATAGGAAGACGCACAACAAATGGATAATATTTTGATAGATAGGAGACGGCATTCTACTTCCCTCAGTTATTGAACATACATAGGGTCAGTGCTGTTAGGCAGACAGAAATCCATACAGCTGAGCCGTTAATACCTGATCCTAGCCCTCTTGCGGTTGAAAATGCTATTGCAAAATTGAAAAGATATAAATCTCCGGGTTGTGATTAAATTCTAGCCGAACTGATTCAAGCAGAATGTGAAATATTACGTACGTTCTCAGATCCAAAAGCAAATTAATTTTATTTGGAATAAGGAAAAAATGCCTGATCAGTGGAAGGAGTATATTATTTTACCAGTTCACAAGAAGGGTGATAAAACTGGCTGTGGTAATTATCGGGAGAAATCATTAGTATCAACTTCACATACAATTCTGTTCCATATTCTTCCCTCTACGGTCAAGTCCATACATAGATTAAATTATTGGGGATCATAAGTGTGGGTTTCGACGTAACAGATCGACTAAAAATCAGACCTTTTGCATTCGTCAGATACTGGAAAAAAGTGTGAGTACGATGAAACAGTACATCAGCTATTTGTAGACTTCAAGAAAGCCTATGGTTCAGTTAGGAGGGAAGTATTGTACAATATTCTGATAGAGTTTGGGATACCCATGAAACTAGTTAGATGTGTTTAAACGAAACGTATAGTAAAGTCCGTGTAGGTAAACATTTGTCTGATAAATTTCCTATCCAGAATGGTCTAAAACAAGGAGATCCTTTATCGCACTCCTTTTCAACTTTCTTTAGAATAGGTCCACGAAGGTCCAGGGAAACCAGGTGGGACTGAAATTAAATGGGACACATCAGCTGTTGGTCTATGCCGATGATGTGGAACTACTGGGTGATAATATAGATACCATAAGGAAAAAACACGAACTTTAATTGATGCTAATAAAGATGTTGGTCTAGAAGTAAACACAGAGAAAACTAAGTATATGTTGCTCTCTCGTCACCAAATTGCAGGGCAAATTCATGACATAACGATAGGTAACATGTTTTTAAATTTGTCACGTTTCAGATATTTGGGAACGACTATAACTAATCAAAACCTGATTCAGGTGGAAATTAAGGGGAGACTGAAATAGGGTTTTTGGCCACACATCTACCCTCTGTCTACTAAGAAACTCTTCTTGCAAATACATTGATACTGTCCCCACTTGTACAGTTGAATGATTGCTCACATCTATATACAACCGCCTTTAACTTCCACCTTTTAAGTATAGGATCGATTTGTACTCATAATGAACTGACAATTTTAATTGTGTGAAACATCGCCTCCTGTAATTTTATCACTTTCTGTGAAACCGTTAAATGATTACTGTAACCTGTATCGAATTTATTGAACAAATTCCTCATAATTACTTGCGTTGAATAATTCAGTTTCGTCACACATTATAATTTAGATTATGGCTGCACATTGCATGACATGTATTCAGTTCAGTATTGAGGGGGTGGGTTTCCCCATGCACCGCGACCAGTTTGATTTATTGTGCGTCCCCCTTTTAATTTCTTCTGTCTCCATACCCTACTGGTACTGGTGCTCGCTATCGTTCCCTTTCTGCCAGCGAGGTTCCGGCCTTCTATTGGCAGTGGTATCTGATATTTAGTCCCTTTCTCTTAGTGATGTCTTCCCTCCTCTGGCAGTGGTACCTAAGCTTCCCCATCTACCGGAGGCATTGGAAACTACTTGGGCGGGAAATTTGCCTAATTTTGCTCAGAGGTCTCCTAGAGACATGAGGTTCTTTTACGTGCCGTAAATCTACGACATGGGACCCACGGCTTAAAGTCCCTCCCGGAGGACCCGCGTTACTCCTAGACTACTGAGGCCGCTTTGCACATGTAAATAAAGGTCTAGAGCGATCGCCATGCACGTAAGACGTCCCCCAGCCTTTAGTGGTATAAGGGCCATGAATACATGGAATGTAACGCCGTGGAGCAGGGGGGCGTGGAGATACCCCTCCTTGCCACCACTGCTTACGCTGTAAGGAATTAACCCAATACTCCTAGCTTACCCTCAGCTAGGATTCTCCTGTTTCGGGGCTTCCTTCTCTCACTTAAAGCTGCCACAATCTATTATATCGTACGAAGGTTGATGAAAATACTAAGTGAGGTGATGTAAGTGCCAAGGGCCGGTAGCGCTGTAGTCGAGCGTCCTCTGTGGGCTGGCCCTTTCATCACTGTCACCTCTTATTAGTGGCGTAGAGCGGGCGTGTCTGGTCTGACCCGCCTCTACCTATCGTCTGTCATCTCTATGGTGGGAACTACACCCTGACATATAGTCATAGCTCCCTCCTGATATATCTTCATATAGTCTGCAGGTAGCACGTATTACATTATTAATATATCTTAAGGGGGCGTCGATACCAAGACTACTCAACGCTGCCGGCGTGGCAGGTACCTATCCCTGTCCAGTAGTACCTCCCCTGAACTGTGGTTGCATTCGGCTGCTGTTGCCTTTCATATTGGTAGGATCCGCGGGATCGGTCGTGGAAAGGTGGTTATGGAGGTGTGAATCACAATTCCTGTACATCCTACTCTAACTACCCTGTCTATTTACACTCTTATTTACATTATTTACAATATTAACAAGCCCGAACTACAGTCGGGTCTACATAGGGTCTTTACGTCATCCTATGCTTCCTCATGTTCTCCCTTAAAATACTCTTCCCGTGAAGTTATACATATTAAAAGCCCACATACCATGTTTATCACAAAAATCATTAATCGTGACTATAACGCAACTGTGCGTATTCTACACACTACCCGTAATCTTAACACATACACCATAACACGGACATATTGCCGGACTATCTTCCTAGGCAATTACTTGTTACATAATTATTACTCTCCCCTAAGGGCTCGCCGAGCACACTGGAGTTTGCTTTCAATATTTTCCACACACTTTTATCGACAATAATAATGAACAACATGGCTTATATGAGTAAACGTGACTTACTTGAAATAGAAGAATGCAGGCCCACTTGCACCGCTCGTAAGGCCCATCTCGACTAGAGCCTCCGGCTGACAACTGAATATTATGTTTGAGATCAGATCACAAGTCTCCTCCATTCAGTATTTTATATCTTTAACTTGCTGAATTGACTGTTGCTGAAAGAGGGAGGTTAACTCCTCTTTTCGTTCAATTCCCAAAGTTATATTCTAATTGGCTATTCCCCGGGGTTGTGGGTGGGCCCGTGGTCCTCTCTGCTGCTTATGCGATAATATTACTATACTCCAGTGGCCCAGTTAGCGGAGCTTCTTACTTATGTGATTATGCATAAATGCTGATCATCAACATTCTTAACCTAGTTCCCTAGTCCATGTGTTGTCATCTTTGCTCGGTTGCTGTGAAACACTTTTCGCAAGTCTCGAATATTTAGGTAATGCCTTAAATTTCCAATACCAAAATTGAGGCGCAACATGGAACATACTTGCACTTGAGAGCCTCGCCATAGCTCAAGCGGTTAGTCGCTGACTTCCCATTGCGGCGGCCCGGGTTCGATCCCGGGTCTGTTCAAGTGGGTTTTGTGGTAGGCAAAGTAGCTCTGGGGCAGGTTTTCTCCGAATACTTCGGTTTCCCCTGCAAATCTTCATTCCACCAATTGCTCCACAATCACCCTCACCTGTTATCTGGGGCTGGAACAATAGGCCAGAAGTGGCCGCAGTACAAGGGACTTAGTCCCACCCCACTAGCAATAAAAAAACTACAGAGCTTACGTTGTACATTGTTCCCACGGTTTGGCTCTTAGTGACAGCAGCAGTAAAGAGCAACAGTAGTGCCACATCTAAATTACATCAGATAGGCCTGACGAAATCTGCGCATCTTGTGTTTAGCAGTCATCATGGTCTTCACTGGACTGGCAGCTGCAGCGGAATGTCCCACGAAATGTACCAAGATATATGATCCAGTCTGCGCCTCTGACGGTGTAACCACTCGAACATTCTCCAATGCATGTGTGCTGAATGTGTACAACTGCCAGAATCCTCAGCACAGTAAGTTATTGGACTATATATTTTACTTAGTTACTACTCAAAATGTGATGTGCTTTCTGCCATCGACGCTATTTGCCTAGAAGAATTTCTGTAGATTCACTCTTGGCTCACTACATGTGTGTGTGTGTTTGTGTTCAGATATTCACAAGCGCCAGTTGTTGCATCCAGTACTCAGAGGAATGGTGGAGCAAGTATTTACCTGCTGAAAGAGAATATTTCGAAGGGTTTAACCTCCCAGTAGAGTAAGCCCTAGGTATGGTATTGAAAGCTTGACAAATTCCGTCTCGATACTTTTCGATCAGATTTCGAATGGACACACTTCGCGTCCTGAATAGACTACAAAGCTAAATTGTCACGGTATGTAACAAACCTTTTAAAGGGAGACATTTTGGGGCGCCAATAACAATTGAATATTTTATACACACTCATATTTATTTATTAAGATGAGATTAATGCGGAGAATAATTGCCGCCATTGAATTCCGAAACTTTTATCATCCATTCTAAAACACAACACATGAAAACATGCACGTATATTATATCCCATCGGTTTGTTTCGAAAACAGGATAAATTGATCTATCAGTCTAAAGAGAAAGTGCAGAAAGTTCTATGACGTGTTGAGAGCGCAGCGCGGAAGATATGAAGTGATACTGTTTGATAATATAACATAATGAAAGACCACGTCATCTATACTCATTATATAATACTGTTTTGCTGATTAGATTAAAAATTATGATAGCTCCAGGAAGCTAATGAGACATTTATGCCTGCATTCCGGCTAGGAAACTTGGAGAGTCACAAGGCTGGAAAGAAGTGTGTAATATACACGTTACAAATGAACTTTGTAAGATAACTAGCTACAGTCAGGATCTCGGAGGGAGGAAGGAATGAATAGCACTACTCAACGGGTAAAGCAGAAATGCATACAAAATCTTGGTCGTACAGCTTCAAGGGAGGAAACTTTATGGTGTTTGGGCGTTGAGACAAAGTCAACTTCAAAGTCGTGGACGGGTGAGTAACACTTGGGTTTCGTATTCGAGATATCTCGACTTCATAGTTCGGCCGGGAGACCGGCTATCTCAGTGAGCATTTCGTGCTTGTACTCAGTCCCTCCTGGCCCTGATTGGATTGTAACACCAAATTAGGCGACGATAGACACAGACGGTAGAGGAGTCGGAATTCGAGCCCGGGTAGGGTCAAGAATTTTCTCCATGTCGTCCAGACCGACTTTCGAGGCAAACCAAACCTCCTATCCAATTGATTTCGGGGCCCTTTTCCCGTGTTTAAACAGGCCGTGGCGTGAAGCTAACCACTCACTTCCAGCTAGTGCCGAGGTCAAGAAAATAGGAATCTATATATCTACTCCGCCGATCACGGTAGCCGAGCGGTAGCCGAGCCGATCGAAGACAGCGAGCTGTCTTCGCTCGCTTGGAAACCGGGATCGTGGGTTCGAGTTCTACTCAAGGCATGGATGCTAATTTGTGTGTGTGCGTTTTTCTGTGTTTGTGTACAGGTAGAGACCTTCACCGAAGTGAACGGAGAAGTTCATGGAGGTAGGCCTAGGCCCACTGGGGCTGTGGTGCCAATGAAAAAATATATATATATCTACCCCCCATACGCCTTCATGTCGTAGTGCTTAATTAGTTGAGGACTGGCAAACTTTAGCTGAAAATGTCGAAGCTAGTGAACTACTGCGACAGAATCAACGAAATTAGAAGTCAGTATGCGTGAAGAATATCTGTACACATACGCGTAGACACAGTAAGATGAAATGTCGTCTCGAGAATGAGTTGCTGTCTCATTTGTGATATCCTGAGAAAATTTAAACAATTGGAAATACCTTCACTGGATTCGAAGAAAGTACAGTTATTCGATTAAATTCAATTCTTATTTATTTTTATGCTTGATTAAGAGCCCAAATCTAATTACGAAGGGAGGGCGATTATATAAAGAAACAAAGCACAAAACAAGACAATTAATACTATTTTAATAATAATAATTCAATTTTAATTTATCATTGTATAGTAAGAAAAATAAAATATATACATTTTCATGAACACAGTGTTTTAATTAGTGCAAGATCCATGGTTCCTGTACAATATGACAACAGGAATCAATTCAAGCTGTAAATATATACATTTTTTTATTGCTAGTGGGGTGGGACTAAGTCCCTTGTACTGCAGCCACTTGTAGCCTATTGTACCAGCCCCAGATATTAGGTGACGGTGATTGTGGAGCAATTTGTGGAATGAAGATTGGCAGGGGAAACCGAAGTACTCGGAGAAAACCTGCCCCAGTGCCACTATGTCTACCACAAATCCCACTTGACCAGACCCGGGATCGAACACGGGCCGCCGCGGTGGGAAGCCAGCGACTAACCGCTTGAGCTATGGCGCGGCCCATATATGTACATATATAAAGATTTAATTTAGTTTTTTTCTTATTTATTTATGTGCTAACTTAACAGCCCAAAAGCCAGTTCTGAAATAAGCCCGAGTAAAGGAAACAAAAAACACATAAAGAAATATATACGCAAGGAAAGTTATGTAATAATAATAATAATAAT